GGGGGGGGGGGAAGAAAACGGACGTGGAAACGACTCTGATGGAAATTACGCGCCGGCAAATGGGGTCCGGTATATCCGGCACGCCGCCGTGCCACGGAGGAGAGGAGAGAGCGCATTGCAGCAAAACGCACGGTGCTATATTATCCTGCAAGTCGCCGCGAAACACGCGTTTTTCGGTCTCGCACGGCTATCAGCGACGATGAGTCGTGTCGGATTCGTGTCGAGGAAGTCGATAGACAGGTGAAAGCGAGAGGGAGGGGGGAGAGAGAGAGAGAGAAATACGGAAATCCGACGGGAACTAATCGCCGATAAACACATCTCGCGCGATTCTCGACGTGCGAGCGCGAACAATAGATAGACGTATAGGCAGAGGCCATCTCTCTCAGTTCCTGACATAATAGGATATCGACGACGGGCACCTTCATCCGCCATTGTTCCGCTCGCGTCCTCTTATCACCCGCGCGAACACGATATACTACACCACGCAGTCAATTTTGCAACGTTTCTGGATACGAGAGCTTTCACTCGGCGTCTCGCGTTTACGACTCGACACTTGCAGGTGTAACACGAAAACGAAAAGAGCATGGTTTCGTTTTTGGAATCGTCGTCCTTTTATTAGCGGATCGGCGCGCGTCCGTTGAAAAGTGCGAGAACTTTTTTCAGGAAAAAAAAATAAAGTAAAGGAGGCAGAAGTAAAAGAGAAACACCGGCGATGCTCGAGTCAACGTTGCCCCGGTTATTAATGCCGTATCCGGGGATGCGCTCGTTGATGCGGCGAGATACATCGCGGGGCAATATATTCCATTCAATCGCGCGTGAACGCGGAAAAATCGATACCTCGCGTCGTAAAAGGCCCGCCGTCACGTGAGACAGTATTACGCCGACAATATCTTCGCAGCTTGTACCTTTTTACTGTTTTACTCGCTCCCTCGCGAAGCGAGCCGGCGCTTCCACGGGAATTTCGCTCGTGGATTTTCTTCCGAGAGACACACGCACACGTTGCATACACACACACACACACACACACACACACATATATATACACCGGGGCATTTCCTACGAGAGAAAATCGATGGATTCCTCCGATGACGTTTGCGTCGGCCACTGCAGACAGATTCGCGGAAACGTGATGACGCGACGCGACGCAGCGCGGAGACGCGCGTCGTCGCACCGGAGAAAGTTCGTCGATGAATACGTACACACCGCCTACACTACCACATACATCGCATACTTTACCATCACCACATATACCGCATACACACCACCACATACACCGCATATATCATCACATACGTCGCATACACTACCACATACACCACATACGTTGCGCAATTTTTCTACTGGTTCCCATCGTACGATAGTGCGGCCATGTAATGCAGAGAACGATAAGACTAATGACCGTTGTTCTATGTCGTCATTGTAGCGACAATTAGTGTAGGTTGTACCATGCATAGCATAATAGAATTATATCGCGATGTTAGGTCATTAACGCGTCGTCTATATACACCGCGTTGCTTCGGTCAATTCTCTCCTGAATTTACGTTTTATCGCGTTTTATCTCATCCTATCTGCGCCTTTCGGGAGCTACTTCAGTCCTAGATGAATCGTTTCGACCAGGTTCCGCGACCGCCAAGAAGGTCCGCGCACTTCTCCTTGCGCGAATTAGATTCCACTTCTATCTCGTCTCGTGCCTCTCGAGAATTAAGCCGGACGGAAAATAGAGATTCGTGTGTCGCGGTGATTAATTCGCGGGTGTATATACACGACGGTGCGACGGGGAATATTGCCACGACCGATTCTCTCGAATAGCTCGTAACCGAAGCATTTCTCCTTGTACTCGTCTTAGCGGACGTGCATGCCGCTGTTTCGTGATCTCGGGAGGATCTGTCGCGTTACACATACAGACTTGCGGTGATGTTCCGGCTGCGATGAAAATTCCGCAGCGATCGAACGTACGCGTTGCGAACATAGACACAGACACACACAACACACATATACCGACAGACACACTCACGTCCGACGCATATGCTTCCGTATCTAAAGACTTACAGCCGTATAGTACCATAATTAAGCTAGGAAATATTATCTCTGCGTAACTCGATGTGTTAGATTTAATTAGATGACGGGGACAGTACCTAACGGCGAGGCGTTCGAGGAACGCGCGACGACGCCGGTTTCGCGATGCCGAACGCGTCAGATGATCCCCCCGCGTTCTGAATCGAGGGTGAAGGAGCGGGGCAGGCACGCGAGAGATTCTGAAGCGATCGCGAAGACAGGAGGAATATAACGGGGGAATTTCGCCGTTCGGAGTTGTCGCGCTCGTAAAGTCGGCGAAGAGCGCGCGTAACTGAACTTTTTAATAGACTGCCCGAGAAATGTTTGCAGTTGCTGAAGCCCCGACGTGTTTACCGAGTTTCACTTTTAGAAGGACCACAAATCACCTCGTTATTTCTTAAAGCGGATATGGAGTAAGAGAGTAAGGCTTAAAAAAGAGAGAGTGAGAGACAGAGAAAGGAGGGGGGAAAAGCTGTCGCGAGACCGGCGTTGATCGACGACGATCAAGTGGACGATGACAGAGGGATGGAGAAGCAGAGAATCGCGGGAAGAGAGTGGTACTGTCCCGATAAGAGACGAGGGGACGAAGTAATGTCCGTTCAGCTAGAGAGGAATGTCCGCGAGATAGTTCCTTCGTGGATGCGTAAAGAGCGATGAGGAACAGGCGACTCCTGCGAGATCACACGTCGTCGAGCCTCGCGCGCCGATAACGACGAGAGAAGACAAGACCAAAGGCAACCGTCCCACGAAATTGCGGGGCGGAAAAGGGCCAGACAGTTTCGCTCTCGCTCGCTCCGACCGACTCGATCACGCGAGATGAACTCGCGAAATATTCCCCGACCTGCGGCATCTCATTGTCGTGGCCACGTTAAACGCGCAGCTCGATATCCTCCGAAGTCGTGCGACTCAAAGTCCTCACGACTCAAAGCGAAGTGCATTCACGGTAATTGCAATTACCTCGCAGGCTCGCGCGGCTCCGTCGCAGGCCAATTTTAATTAACTCGCGGCAAAGAAACCTCGCCGCTGCCCTCGCGTGGCGAAATTATCAACTTTTTCGCGGTAATTCTCCGTATTTCGCAGTCGGACTGTTCAGCCCCCGTCACCGTCGTCGTTGTCGCGGACGTTTCGACGTTAGTGTGCCGTTTTTAACGAGGATTGGGACGAAACTAGACGCGCATTCCGTCCGCTCAGCGCTGGAAATTGAAGGAAAAAGGTCGACTTGTTAATTAGAAACCACGGCCGCCGAGGACGATGGAACAGCGAGCTGCCTTAACGGGAAGCTCGACGCGCGTTTGTTACTCGGACCGTATCTATCGGAAGCAGCCACGCCGGGGAACTCGGCGGAGCCTCGGAATTTAAGCGATCGC